GACAGTGAAAGCAGTGACTAAATCAAAATTTCTCAAGAGAATAAAATTTCGTTCACATTCAGAGATTTGATAAATATCGGGTGTGTTCGGGGTTGGCGGAGTGAAACCATGTTTATCATAAAGAAATGATCGTTCACTGAAATGTTCGTCCAAAACACATTATTAAAAAACCAAAAGCCGAAAGATATTTTATAAAAACCCAAACCCAAAACACATTATTAAAAACCGAAGCCCAAAACACATTATTAAAAAACCGAAATCCAAAACACATTATTAAAAAACCGAAACCCAAAACACATTATTAAAAAACCGAAACCCAAAACACATTATTAAAAAACCAAGCCCAAAACACATTCAAAAAATAATTTAAAAAATATTTTAAAAGTTCCTGGCGTCTCATCCATCCATGCATGTGTAGCCCCCCATATATATATATATATATATATATATATATATATATATATATATATATATATATATATATATATATATATATATATATATATATATATATATGGATACGCGTATTTGAGAAGGCGGTTCGCCTTTTTTTCGGAGGCACGGTGGTGTAATGGAAAGCGGCTCGGATTGAGGAATCTGAGAGTTGAGTTCGAATTCCAGTCGAATCCATTACATTCATTTATGTGTTAATAACCTTGGGAAAAGTATGATGCCTTTTCGTCTCCTCAAATAGGAGTGTTCACTAAAAATAGCGCTTAAGTAATAAAAAATCTGTTGGATTAATAAATAAAATAAAATAATCCCTTTCTTCACACACCGCTGAAATTTCGTATATAAAAGCACATTTCTTTGTTAGCGGCTTACGTTCACATCACGTTGAAGCACTGGCTCCGGAACCATCACTGAACTGGGAACACCAGTTGCTGTAAGCTTTGGATGTGTGAGACGTGTAGTTGGAAATAAGAAAATTCGAAGAGATGAGTTCTATTTCCAGTCGTGTTTGTTATATTTACTTACTCGCAAATACCCTTAGGAAAGATTATGAATTCATCCCTTCTTCCCCTCAGCTATGGGTTAATTAGTAAGATTTGGATTATTAGATCATTATTATCTTCGACATTTTTTTAATAAAGTGAGGGTCATTCTTTACAAGTACCGGAGGGCTCTCGAGCTAGAAGGTCATTTTAGGAGGCCATTTGTGTGTATAGTTATGGTAGATAATAACCCTAGTCTTAAGCTTGTAGTGAAACATCCTGTTGGGAGTCGGTTCTACAAGGCAGTCGTTCGTTGGAAGAAGCTGTTCGAATCAAACTTACTTCTCACTGACGGGATACGAAAGTGCTACTAAGTGGCATGGCGTCTTCTTGCCATGAAGGTTTGCTCTGGCGGGACCAGGGAATGTAGTTTGTCCGAGCACCTTCCATGGGAGTAGCGATAAAACAGCGAGAAGCTTGCCACATCACGCCTGTGTGAGATGGGTTGAAGGATGGAGAATAATTCGTCACCCACGAGGGCTCGGAGAAGCTTTCGAACTTTATCAAGGCTGGTGAGTGAGGTTTTGGTAGCTTCTGCCCAAATATGACACCAGTACTCCATGGCCTGCAAGGTGTTCATAAAACTAACGAATCACTCCATATTGGGCGGACCAAGAGCATTTCAGAGCTTCTTCGTATATATATATATGAGGATATTAACTTTTTTGACAGTTTCTGGCTACAGATATTTTCTTAACGGTGTGGTGGCTGAGATAGTCGAATATTTGAAATTAGTGCGGGTGGCGTAACTTATGGGGGGGTGGAATGTGAAATCGGTGAACGGTTCACTTATGCACAAATATCCTTGGGAAAGGCATGAAACCATCTTTTCTCTCTAGACTTGTGTGATAGCCAGTCTAGTAGAAAAAAATTCTGAATTCAAAATCTTAGAGAAGAGAGCAGAAAAAAGACCTTTCTACTATGTTTCGTGAGATGGCGATTCACAGATAATAACGAAAAGGACGATGTGGACAGCCGTGACTCACAAGGTCATGAAGGAACATGGCATTAAAAACAAGACAAAACACTGATCAATTCGAAATATTGTTTTTCAAAATGTTCAGGCACAATCAATCTAGAAATCAGGCGCAACATGATCTTCTCGATTGACATTTTCACTATTTAATCCTGTGCCACACTAGGTTAAAACTTAGAAAATGTCTACATTGACAGCGAAAGCACGCAGCTCCTGAGACATTGAAAAGAGATCTACAGAGATATTAAATGTCTGTTTGTATTTTCAATATAACTTGCCCGAATTAAATTCCCTTTATTAGTTTCATTCGTTGGTATTAAATTTATAGGTTAAACAACGATGTAGTTCTGGCATTTATACTGCATGAGATCTTAACACACACACATACATACATACATACATACACACACACACACACACACACACACACACATATATATATATATATATATATATATATATATATATATTCCTGGTGTGATTCATACCTGGCTAATTTGTTGGTTGTTCTATTCATACGGATAGCCAATAATTCGGTGTTTATCGGTTTTGTTGTTGTTATGTCCTTGGCATTTGATTCACTTCCGTGTCTATTGTCCATGATTATATTTTCAACAATAAAAAATATTAAAAAATTAAAATCTTCAGGCACACTTGAATATTAACAGGTTGAATATTAATATTAATTCGTTTTTATTATTATTTCATTTACATTCCTTGGCTAGTTTCGACCAACATGGCCATCATCAGGAGAAAAAAAATTCTGTTTGCTGGTAACAGTGAACTACAGAAATTTTATTCTCCTGGGGATGGCCATGTTGGCCGAAAAGAGTCGAGGAATCTAAATGAAATAATAATAAAAACGAAAGAATATTAATATACAACCCAGTGTGTCTGAAGATTTTAATTTTTTAATATTTTTATTGTTCAATATATATATATATATATATATATATATATATATATATATATATATATATATTAGCTTTTTATTTAGCTCCTGCGGAGGAATCTTGATTAGGCCCTCATTGCAATAGATAGGGATGATTAGATACGATAAGAAGCAATAAACTACAGAACTCAATATTAATTACTGCATTAAATTTAAAGACAATTTGATGTACGTAGGTCCTTACTTCCCGTACTAACAATTATTTTTATTTCATGGGTGACTTTCGCTGGATTTTGGAATTAATTTCCATTATTCCTAAATTTATTTCCCAGTTTAAAAATTGTTATTGCACAAAAAAATGATCACAAAAATTAACGTAAAAAAAATCGCCAAAAACAATTGCAGTAATTAAATTTTGAGAATCCAAAATTTCAGGATTGTGGTTCCGGATCCGGCCCCGAATGTTTTTGAATTTGCTCACGGAGTCGGCTTGATTCCAAAATGATACGATATATTGGGCTACGGCCTCTGGGAATAAAGTTGAAAACAGTGACACAGTGACACACTGATATTCACACACACACACACACATATATATATATATATATATATATATATATGAAGAAATATAGTCTTAAGATGTGCTATATTTATGGGATAAAGTGCTCAATATCAGAGATAGAGCGTGTGTAAATATAAAAGTGAACATAGAAGTCAACACTTAGAGGCGACAGTCTGTTTCATGTTAGATGCAATCATCAGGCCAAAATGCTCGTCGTGGCTTGACGATTGCATCTAGCATGAAACAGAATGTCGCCTTTTATATATATATATATATATATATATATATATATATATATATATATATATATATGCGTGTGTGTGTATGTATTACTTCAAACGTTATTTTAGTCTATACCCGTGTTTGAGTAGACGTTCCGATTATAAACAGTATATGTTAGCCTATCAGATGCTGCAATAATTAATGAAAAAAAAACAATCTGCTCCCCGTATTCTTCGAAATTGTGTTCTCCTTTGTAGGTGACCACCCTATAAAAGGGTGTGGTCTCTGTGGCTGAGATGTCTAATTCTTTCTGCATCAGTCGGTAGTTTCTCCCTACAAAGTGGAGGCGGTACTTTCAACCCTGCCAGAGAGCGCATTTTTTCTCCTTTTTTTTTGCTGCATATCGAGCTTTAAATAGACACTTCGACGTGATTCAATGGTTAGCAAAGCTCGTCTCGTTGGATCAATTACGACTGAATAGTGAGTGTGATCCTCACTTGGTGGCCTATACTTACGACACCATCCTTAGTAAATCACTGGAGCACTTCGATGTGTTTAAATGTTAGCAAACTTATCTTGCTTTATCAAATATTACAGAATAGTGACTTCGAGCCTCACTAGGTGCTCCATACTTTCGGCCTTGTGCCACATTTAAACTTCGCTATATCAAGTTTTGAATTATGAGTAAACTGTCCAAAGTTTAAGTGTTCTGGCCTGTTTTGTTTAAGTAATTTCGTAAAGAAATAAAAAAAAGGACCTTTGGACAGTTCAGTCATAATTTCAATCCCGGTATACACAATTATTTCTATGTTTCGGAACTTAAAAATTTCCATCATCAGGCGATGTTGGGTAACTTATGATGAAATTGATTTACTTCAAAAATCAAGAGACAGTTCGGTAGCTTATTTGAGAGTTAAAAATGAGGGGAGGGGGAACCAAAATTCCAAAATTTTGTGGGTATGTCTTGGTTAACCAATCAAAAGACGAATCAAAGCTAAAATAGAAAAATGAAAAATTAGGTTAGAAGTTAGGGTAGTTGCTTTATTGATTCATGTTTAGATTCTTAATCTGACTGTTCTTTCTCTTTATATGTATATAAAAATTATATATATATATATATATATATATATATATATATATATATATATATATATAATAATTTTCTCAGAGGGTATATCTGTAAAAATGAACAAAATGAATACAAGATCAAGAGGAAAAACTGTTCTTAGCCTACGCGTTTCGTCCACTGAGGGACTTAATCAAGGGAAATGTAAAGGTTTATTTTGTTGCACGTGTTTATACATAAAAACAAAGATTTCATTGGTTTATCAAGGCTTTTAAATTTGAGGACGTTCAGTGAGTGAGAGAAAGAGGGAAAGAGAGAGAGAGGGAGAGAGAGAGAGGGAGAGAGAAAGAGGGAGAGAGAGAGAGAGAGAATATAGACATACAAATGAACATAATAACCGAATCGTTAAAACATTTGCTTTTTGACCATGAGACCCGGGTTCAAATCTTGCCATGGTCGATTTGTCAGGAAGATAGCTTCTTGAAGCTATCGGTCTTGAGGAGGCGAACCCAGCGTGTGTCACCTTTGGAAAGTGCCAGAAAACCATACCACGGGTTGACCCAAGCCTTGTGAGTGAAATTGGGTAAATGGAATCCTTGCTTGCACGAAGTCAGAAGACATCGTGACCGAGGGTTTGAGCTAGCCTTGTTGATCACGCAAAATAACGCGCTCTCTCCCAGAAACTGCATTGTCGCAGAATAAACCACGAGGTGGGGTAAATTTTGCTCTGTAAATGTCGAACAAAACACAAATGTGCCTGAACAAGCGTCTAAAATAGGGATTAGCTAGCCACCCTAGTAGACTGGCATCCTCTGATTCGAGTGAATTTACATGACTATAAGCGTTATTTTACTAGTTACACATGCTTGATACGACAAGCCTTTTTTGCTCAGTACAAGGTTCAAGAGCCACTCAATGTAGAGGGTTACTGAGTGAGGTTGATGCATGCCAGAAGAGGAGGTAAGACGTGGTCATTTTGGGGTTATGCAGAAAGGTTAACGGTTAATCCTAGACTTGGAGAGGTTAAGATTATGTTGATCTGGGCGGGGGTGGGGTCTCTTCAATTGTTTTACTTGTTTAATTCTCTCTCCAATTTCCATTTTGCATGTTGGGCTTTTTCATATTAACAACCATGCATTCCGTCTTCTTGTAACTGATGTTTAGTCCTTTCTTCTAGCTTTCCTTCAATGCCTTCTGTGGGCGTTAGCCTTTTAAATTAAGCTTAATTTACTTACAATTCTGTTGTAGAGTAGTTTTCACAGTGGAGGCTTGTATTTCGCTAAGTCGGTTCTATAAGGGTCCGACGTACAAAACGTTAGGAACTTGAAATAAGAGTTAATGACGCAGCAATCTAGTTGTCATGGTTGATACTTCAATGTCCGACATCGACTGACTCGCTCAACACCACTGAGCTCAAATGGCCACTGCTACTACTACTTATTATCTGTGGGAGAGTCTATTA